AAGGTATTNTGGTTCANGTAANNATGTAGAGATTGACTTTCGTTGAGCCTCCTTTACCCGAACTGCTTGCTTAGCTCCTGTTTGATTTGTCAAGGTGCTTGGGATCACCTTCTTGGGCTCAGAACCATAGGGTAGCTTCTGATTACGAACATGCTGCGAGTTTGGTGTAGACATCCCACTCTTTGAAGTTGTTTGGAACATAAGTCTCTTGGGAATGTAGCTTTTGTTGTGAATCCTTTGTACACATTCCTTGTACATACGCTGCTTGAGATCACCCCAAGTGATAATCGGATTATGATAGTAGGCTTGAGCTTCTTCTTTTATCCACCATGTATGAGCTTCTCCAATAGTGTCTCTAAAGTGTAGGAAAGCTTCTTCTCCTTTGGGATGTTGTGGGATCGTAGCCAATGCTCTATGTTATTCTCCCACAATAGGTAAGCTTNTGGTCNTTNTTTATNACNTGANAAATTTAGGAGTTGTGAATCAAAACGTTCACATTTCTTACCATGGTTCCATGGCTTGGTAATGGATGAATTTGTGTGCACTCGGCCTNGTACGACTCNATTGGGATAATGTGCCTCTTTGCTAGGGTAACCATATNAATTCCNGTATGGTGCTTCAAATCCCATATCATCACGTGCTGGCTCAGGATCTTGTCCTTCACAATCTGATTCAGCTACAAAGCTTTGATTCGGACTCATCCTCATGAGTGAACTCCCCTTTGTGAGTGAAATCTTCATAGTGTTGTTCACATCCATAACCTTCTTCTTCATGGCTGAATTGAGATTCTGCTTCTCTAATCCTTGAGTTGTTTTCGTGTTGTTCATCCTCATGATCGCTTTGAGAACTATCTTCTCCAATTCGTGAGTCTCCATCCTCACTCTCTTGGTCAGTTTCTTCTATGTACCATTCTTGGTAGCTTGCGATGTCTCTTGAAAGGTCTGGTGGCTCTGGTTTATCTTCAAATTCAAAATCGAATCCTTCAACGTTTCTCTCTTCCTCAAAATCAGAGCTCGGATAACAATCTCCTGGCCACGGTGGAGATTCATAGTCAACCTCCTCATCGGAAAAGGCAAGACTCTCTTCTCCTTGACTCCATTGGTCTTCATCAGGTTGGTAAGGTAGTTCTTCCTTTGAATACTCCATTGACGCCTCTGGTATTTCCTTTGTTTGTATCTAACAAAAAGATATTGAAGAAGATGTATCAATATGTAACAAGAAGAAACAATATGTAAAAAAAAAAAAATAACTCAATTTCGATCAACACCAAAAAGGAAATAATGTTTTCTAAAATCCTTTTTTAATCAAAATTCGAAACTGATAAATTGAAAAGAAAGAAGTAAATATTTTATTTTTCTTTTAAAATTTTATCCAAATTAAATTCGAACGTTAACAGATAATTGAAAACAAATCCAAAAACAATTTTTATGGGGTTTTTCTATATGAAAATTCGAAATAAATAGTAAATTGAAGCAAATATTTTTTTTTCTTTTGATTTTTATGGTTTAATAATG